CAAAGGGCAGATCATTTGTAATGATGAGATCCATAGCTTGAAGAAAAAGGGGAAGAGATTAATTTCCATGAATTCAAGTAATTTCATTTCAAATACTACCGAACTTAGAACATTATATTTCACTGACTTACACAGTCATGAAGATAAAATAGAATTGTTTGTATGTGAGGCATGGACAGAGTTGCCAAGTGTGTAAAGTAAGGGAGGTTCAACTTTCAGAAAACTTACCCTTCTTCAAGACCTTTTATGAACTGAGGCCAGATGTGTATTTAGAAACTTGCAAACTGTAGGTATAGACAGAAATATATAAATCTAAATGGGAGGATTTTTTTATTCAGGAGAAAATATACTGCTGTGTCATTAAAGGTTAATTTCTGTGTTTTTATGTATTTTAGGTAAATTTTTATTGTGTGTCTTTCCCAAGAACTGGCAACTTGGAAGTGCATGTTTCTCTGCTTCTTATAAATGCATTCCCCAAGGCTGCAGTTCTTCAAGCTTTAAGGCGGTTTTCATTAAAGCAGCCAGCTGCCTCTTTGTGTGGATTGGCTGCTTAAAGCTATAGCCTTGAAGTCGGAGCCTCAGTTTTGACATTCTGTGGACCCTTAGTAAAGAAGTTCCATTCATATGATGTCTAGGGGTGCAAGGGGTGGTTATCCATGAAATCAAACAGCTGCTCAGGCTAGCAGGAGAGCAGAAAACATAGGAATGAATGAATGCAGGCAAGGTTGAGAGAGAAGGAAGAGGAACACTCAAACAAACCTCCCCCAAGGTGGATATATTAAAAGAGAAACATCAAGGAGTAATTTTACTTAAGTTTTAACTAGTTGTTAACTCTACTCCTCCAATGGCCACCTCCAAAATATTTTTTCTTTGTTTTATGTTGTTTTCTGGTTTCCCTTATCCTGGGATTACATAAATGAGAATTAAGATCTATCAAGTGAATTGCCATCTCCCCTCTTTTTTAGTAACTGTTTCCAGTTCAATGTAAGGGAGTGATTAGGTGAGTTTTCTGCTAACTCCTGGTATACAGAAATACCTTAAATGATATTTTATATATGACATGGGTATGTTTACCAAAGGGACAAGTTACTAAATCTGAGTTCGACTTACAGTGCATGGGCTGATCCTATAACTGATATCTTGAAGATTTTAGCAACTTGGCCAAGGTGCTGATTGCTACAAAGATCCAAACCTGGGGATACTATATCAAGGAGTATAAAAGTGTGAGAGATGAATATTGGCATCTTTTCCGTGTTGGCTGTTTCTCTTACATGCAGCGCACCCCAATAGGAGAGAGCCGGCACCACTTCTTCACACTAGTTCAGCCCAAGATAATGATCTTGCTCCAGACCTTGAAGAAGATCCTGGGTTGGTGCCAAAGCCAGAATCTCTGCACCGGGTGCCTCCAAGAATGTCTTGTGGAAAGGGCTTTGGGGACCCCACAGTAGATGCCTAAAGCAGAGAGGCCCGTAGGTATTGCCTTTTCAGCCATTGTCCTAGCGAGTGTTCTCGAGGAGCTGTGCTGGAGTGAGGGAGGTATCAAGACACCTTGTCAGTTCAAAGCCTTTTATGGTTGTTTGAAATCCTCTCCACGTCAACGTAAGCAGCCTCTGTATTTGAACAGCTGCTTTGAACAGTGAAAAGGAATGAGCTGAATCAAAACCTGGAGGTGTCTGCCTGAGACACCTTCACCTTGCTTTTATGGGGGCGGAGATAGGCAGACATTCGCGCCGACTCTGCCCTGAACCGGGTCAGACCAAGGGACTGCTCCCATGACTGTGGGGGGAAAGAGGGAAGTGTGGAGAATCCCCCATCTGGAACTAAAGCCTAGGTTCCGTGATCTCCAGTGAGGAGACCTTGCGGGGAGTGGGACAGGGAACCCAAGCTGCTCAGGAGCCTGCATTCGCGCCAACCGGGCCCCCAGCTACCGGCAGGGAGCAGGCGGTGGCTCTGGGAGGGGTGGGAGGAGGTAGAACTCAGAGTGGTGTTGCGCGCCTAGCTTGCCCGCCCAACGATTAGCCCTACTGCAGGGGAGGGGGACGCACAGTCTGAGACCCCGGGTAGGGCACGGCTTTGTATACTCTCGGGATTTATAGAGCATATTAAGTCCGATAGAACGATCTCGGCTCGCCCTGTTGGGAACGTTTCAGCTCTTTCGCACGCCAGCGAAATGAGGCGGGGCTGGGGGGTGGAGTGGAGACCTGGGACGTCAAAGTGGGAAGGATCTCCGAGCATTAATCGCCAGTGATGTCCCATCGCAGACAGGAAGTTTTGATGTACACGTGCTGCCTGTTCTTACCTCCCCCCACCGCACACACAGTAGCGCCTTAAGCCCGAGGTGGGAGATGAGGGTACAGAGGGAGACCAGAGGAGGGACTTTTAAATTGCTCAAAGCCAGGCACCCTCAGTTCCCTCGGAAATGCATCTGGAAACTTATTATCTCTAATGCATCAGGCTGCTTAGGGGCAGGTCCTTCCAGAAATGTGAAATTAAATCCAGAGAAAAACGGACGCCTGTCTTTAAAGGGGGAGCGGGGAATCGGGGTGCGAGGTGCTTAGTAACCGGAGGCAGCCTTCCCCGGCAGCTGGATTCTTTCCTAGGTAGAAGCTCGGAGCTCCCGGGAGGAAAGGAAAGAAAGGCGCCGGGGCGAGAAGGGAACACTGCTGGCGAGAGGCCTGCGAGTTTCCCAAGGGCGGGGTAAAGCCATGTACCCAGCGTAGGGGACACAGGGCTGAAGCGTTAAGGAGGTTGCCTCACCCTCCCCAGCAATCTGGGCTGCTTTCCGTACGAGAGCCGCCTGCACCGCCGGCTGAGTCTGCACGCTGCGAGGCTTCGACTTTTTCTTTTTTCTTTTTTCCTGGCCAGGCCAAGTTACTGGATCCCTAGCAGCTCCCAGGCGAGCGGTTAGAGTGGCTGGGCGACTGCGCTGGGAGTCACCGCTCCACATTGTGTATGGTAGCCGCGAGTGCGCGCGCGTGGCGGGAGTGTAGGTCCGTCCCGCCGCTGCCTGCGGGCTCGCCCCTCCCCTAACCATTTCTCTCTCTCCTCACACACACCCTCATAAACACAGGACACGTGGAAATTCTCAGCCAAAGCGCCTTGCCCGGGCGGGTGCTCAACGTGGTGATTTATAAACAGCTCAGCCACTCCCCAAAGAGCACCGCTCCTCGTTAGTCATGATGAATTTTCTGGTCTGCTCTATTCTGCTGTCTAGATTAAGATGCTCGGAGGCCCCAAAATGCTCCCTTTGAGCGTTAATTTGGCTTCCCTCACAAGCCTACCATCGCTGACAGAGCCTGCGGAGCTAGCACCACAACGCAGGAACCAGGGATGAGAGGTGCGGAAGCTATTCATGTTCCCTGGAGTCTTTCCCTTCCTGGCAATAACTTTTACTTCGCTTTGGTACTAGTACCGGTGCTGTACTACCGACACTTCCTGGCGGTCCGCTGCTTCAGCCTGAATCCGCCCCTAGATCCCTGATATCAGGTTCTCATGCTCGAAAACTGGCAGCAGACACCTGCTCCTGCGAGCTAAGAAACAGAAGGCGTGACACGCTCGCTCGCGCTCTGCAGAGCGGCGCCCCGGGTGCACTGTCCCGCGGTCTTGTTCTGGAGTTCACGGCTGCCTGCTGAGCTGGAAGCTTGACTGACCAGCGTCCTAGAGCTTAGATTAACCCCACCCCCTGGCGCCCGCAAAAGTTATTGATGAGAAAGGTTTCCCTGGCATCAACTCATTTACTTTCACCTTTTTCTTCCCTTTTGAAGTGACTTAACGGAAAAGTTGCGCCAATAAGCGCAAAGAACCCGGGTGGTGGTGGTGGGGAGCTCATACATCTCCATCAGCACCGCTTCCCAGAGCTTCTCTTGAATATTCACCAAACCAAGTGCACCCCTCGCCAGCACTTCTGCAGCTTCCCACAAGTAGAAGGTCTACCCACACAAGCTCCTAGTTTCCTAAACCAAAAACTGTGCGCGCGCCCGAGTGTGAATCTGACAGACTTTTACAGTTTTGTTTTCAGTTCAGACCGCTGTACTGTTAGAGCAGCCAACTCTGCGCCTTGATAGGAGTGGCTCACAAGCCGCGACATAGGCTGAGCTTGCCTCTCGCTGAGTCTTTTCGGTGAAGGACTGAGAGGCAGCCGGGCCTGGAACCAAGAGCCTGTGCTAGCTAGCGGGGTGGAGATGAAGGAGGGAACCTTCATTCCAGTCAAAAGTGTCCGCACAGTCAGGAGCAAAAGGCACCTGTGCACTGAAATTCTAACTACGAGAGGAAGGGGTCTTCAACTAGGGGACAATTCTGGCTCCTGGCTCTAGGTTTAAGCGACACTGGTGTGTGTGTATCCCTAGGTGAATGAAAATCGAACTCCTGCTGGCTCGATGCGACCCAGCCTTTCTTTTTCTCCATCGCTCCCCCCACTCCCTCAAAAGCCCTATTGGAAAGAAAAAGTGGACCCCCCCCCCCCACACACACACACCCTATCCAAGTCTTCCAAGTGGCTGTGGTCGATAAGAGCGCCGGAACCATCCCCCTGCCCGGCTTCTCTGCCTGGGAGACAGATGGGGGGCGGGTCCCATCCGAGAGGGGGCGGAGGAGGCCGGGGATGGGGAAGAAGAGGGGGGGCGAGAACTGAGAGAATCTGAATCGCGGGGCTAGGGGGGACTAGGAGGAGGGCTAGGACGACTCCGAGCCTGGGGGAGGAGAGGGGGCAGCTTTGCGCCAATCAGTGGCGCCGGCCTGGGAGGTTGCTAGCGGTATCCACGTAAATCAAAGGGCGCGGAGCCAATGGGAGGGGGCGGAGGGGGCGGGGCCCAGGCGCGTGCCGCTGCGAGCCAGCGCTGCCAAGAGAGCGGGAGAGAGCTGGAGAGAGCAGGGAGAGGGGGGAGCGCGGAGCGAGTCAGAGTGAGCGAGAGCGAGAAGGAGGGAGAGGAGAAAGAGAGCGAGGGCGGGCGGGAGGCGACGGCGGCGGCAGCGGCAGCAGTAATAGCAGGAGCAGCAACAGAAGGCGTCGGAGCGGGCGTCGGAGCTGCCCGATAGGGGAGAGAGAGAGTGGAAAGAGAAAGAGGGCGAGGAGGAGAGGGAGCCAGAGGCGAAAAAGTAACTGTCAAATGCGCGGCTCCTTTAACCGGAGCGCTCAGTCCGGCTCCGAGAGTCATGGCGACCGCAGCGTCTAACCACTACAGCCTGCTCACCTCCAGCGCCTCCATCGTGCACGCCGAGCCGCCCGGCGGCATGCAGCAAGGCGCGGGGGGCTACCGCGAGGCGCAGAGCCTGGTGCAGGGCGACTACGGCGCGCTGCAGAGCAACGGGCACCCACTCAGCCACGCTCACCAGTGGATCACCGCGCTGTCCCACGGCGGTGGCGGCGGCGGCGGGGGCGGCGGCGGCGGGGGCGGGGGCGGCGGCGGGGGCGGCAGCGACGGCTCCCCTTGGTCCACCAGCCCCCTGGGCCAGCCGGACATCAAGCCCTCAGTGGTGGTGCAGCAGGGCGGCCGCGGCGACGAGCTGCACGGGCCAGGCGCCCTGCAGCAGCAGCACCAGCAGCAGCAACAGCAGCAGCAACAGCAACAGCAGCAACAGCAGCAGCAGCAGCAGCAGCAACGGCCGCCGCATCTGGTGCACCACGCTGCCAACCACCACCCCGGGCCCGGGGCATGGAGGAGCGCGGCGGCTGCAGCGCACCTCCCACCCTCCATGGGAGCGTCCAACGGTGGCTTGCTCTACTCACAGCCCAGCTTCACCGTGAACGGCATGCTGGGCGCCGGCGGGCAGCCGACAGGGCTGCACCACCACGGCCTGCGGGACGCGCACGACGAGCCACATCATACCGACCACCACCCGCACCCTCACTCTCACCCACACCAGCAGCCACCGCCGCCGCCGCCCCCACAGGGCCCGCCAGGCCACCCAGGCGCGCACCACGACCCGCACTCGGACGAGGACACGCCGACCTCGGACGACCTGGAGCAGTTCGCCAAGCAGTTCAAACAGAGGCGGATCAAACTGGGATTTACCCAAGCAGACGTGGGGCTGGCGCTGGGCACCCTGTACGGCAACGTGTTCTCGCAGACCACCATCTGCAGGTTTGAGGCCCTGCAGCTGAGCTTCAAGAACATGTGCAAGCTGAAGCCTTTGTTGAACAAGTGGTTGGAAGAGGCAGACTCATCCTCGGGCAGCCCCACAAGCATAGACAAGATCGCAGCGCAGGGGCGCAAGCGGAAAAAGCGGACCTCCATCGAGGTGAGCGTCAAGGGGGCTCTGGAGAGCCATTTCCTCAAATGCCCCAAGCCCTCGGCCCAGGAGATCACCTCCCTCGCGGACAGCTTACAGCTGGAGAAGGAGGTGGTGAGAGTTTGGTTTTGTAACAGGAGACAGAAAGAGAAAAGGATGACCCCTCCCGGAGGGACTCTGCCGGGCGCCGAGGATGTGTACGGGGGGAGTAGGGACACGCCACCACACCACGGGGTGCAGACGCCCGTCCAGTGAACTCGAGGGGGGGGAGGGGCAGAGCGCGGGGCTCCCCCTCCCCTTCGGCCCACGGTCCTTTCCGGACCCCTGTTCCCTCTCTAACTTTTGATTGTTCTTTTTATTTTTAATTATTATTTCCCCGTCCCTTAAAAAGAAAAAAAAAATAAGGAAAAAGGAAAGCAACTAAGACACTGGACTATCCTATAAACGATAGCAGGTGTAATGATGTGTTTTGACCTTTACAGGCGAGTACCCAGGCAATGAAGTAGAGTGTCTCCTAGAGAGAGTGAGAAGAGTGTGTGTTTGTGTGCGTGAAAGAGAGAAAGAGAGGTGGCAAGCACTGAGATAAATACCTGGCAAAACTAAATAAATTACCAAAAAGAAAAAGAAACCCACCAAACCATGATAAACACAAAACTGCAGCTCCCTCATGCTTGATGCTTGGAGTTGGGACATGCTGCTGTGTTTATTTAATGTGGATTCCCATCAGGAAAGAGGAAAAAAATCACACATTCTTTGATATAGGCAAAATTTAACCACATAAATTTGCACTGCAAGAAAATTGAAGTTTACATGAACAAATTCATAAACATATTTTTTCTTTTAATCCCCACGGTTAATTTTGGAATTGCCGTTTTGGTTTGGTTTTGCTTTGCTTTGCTTACTCAGTAGAGAGAATTGAAGCCAGTTCTTGGCCGCTCTCCATTTCTAGTTCTTGTATTGCCCCTTCTTACTGTTTGTGAAGTTTGATTACCTTCATATTCCCTTTGAATTGATGTAACATTTATTTGTTCTTTTTACCAAAGCAAAATGATTGAATTCATACAAAAGAAAAAAAAAACCTAATTGCTTGCTTTGGGGAAATGTGTATGGTCTACACACTTTATCCAAGGCAAGACTCTAGTTTAGAATATAAAAATAAGAGTCAAGCATTGGTTTTCTTACCACCCACAAAGTAAACTTCATTTTCAGGCAGTGTTTCTGGGGGAGGTTATACAGGGGAGAAAAAGAAAAATCAATAGTGAGTGACTGATTGCTTCATTTTATCAGGCGGGCCCATTGTGAAAGAGCTCAAAGGAAACGTGGAGGTTAAATATATTTCCAGAGTTGTCCAACAGAAAGAAAGTGGCACTTTGAAGAGAGCTAAGTGAATATATATCTTCAGCTACCCCCATATAGTTCTCTGCTTTTAGTTTTAATAACTTAATTATGAGAAATTATTTGTGCTGACTGCAGCAACTAAACTTTGTTCCTGAAATTGTCTTTTTTTTTTAAGCATAAATAACATAACCCAGGAACTCAATGCTGTATGCACTTACCGTGTTTCTTAGCACACAAATACCCATATGCATACATAGACCATAGACTGGATTTGTCCTCACTAGTTCATTTGTTTATCAGTCATATTTAGGGGTCCCAGATCTTCTTTCCCTCTAACTTATTACAGAAAATACCAATTTCACTTGGACTGCTCCTCCCTTCAATAAGGAAGCCAAATGAAGTGAAAATAAAATGCCATTTTCAATCCTTCCTCTCTCCCCTTTGTTAATAGTTTTAAGTGCATTTTTTTTTTTTTACCTTATCTTGATGGAAAACAGTTAACTCCCAACACAAAAAAACTCTACTGGAAAGTGTAGGTGAAAACAAACAAACAAACTTGTAACTGTATTGAAAATAAATACCATTAAACTGTGATCAGTTAAAATTTTAAAAATAATAATCAGCACAAAAGGGCGCTAAAAGGGAAGACACTTTTTATTAACCTTAAAAGTTTGGGGCTTTTTTTCCTGGCTAGGAGTAGATAAATGTTTATTTTAAAAGTTGAATTTTCACTACATAAAATTATGGTTCAGCATCAGATTAGTATTGCACTCAGTAGTTAAGGTTTTAGAAAATATGCTTTATACAGTATTGTCTTTCCAAACACCTGTGATTGTTTCATTTTCAATGTTTTTGCAAGATAAATGGTGACTTATAATGGGCATATTCATTTGCCTGTATTTCATTTCCCCCAATGAATGTCACAAGTAGATGGGCACCGGAGCTGCTTCGGGTACATCACTCTGCTTGTTCCTGAGGTGTGGGGACTGGCCTTCAGTGAAGCAATCCAGAGCAGGGCAGAGAGCTAATGGTAAAGGGAGGAAATGAATTTTCAGATACTTATTACCAAGTAGGTAAGGTCAGAAGCTGGAGTTCAGGGGATGTTTCTACAGTTCCTCTAGCTCTCATAGGTTTACTAAGATGAAAGTTACCACTGAACCTTACCACAATGTATATATGTTTAATATCTGTCTTTTGAAATGCAGAAATAGTTTAAATGTTTCTTTGTCTATTTTTCTTTTTTTTTTAATGCTACCCAGGGAAATATTTTCATATCATTTTTAAGTGGCCTGCCTCAATGTATATTTATTTCTTTTGAAGCAAAAAGGTTCTGGAAACTGTTTTTCTGTAGCTTTAAATGAGTAGGTGAGCAAAATCTATATGGGATGTAATTTTTTTGTTCAGTCTCTTTAAAAATACTTTGTTTTGGTACATTTGGTTGTGCTTGTGGGGAAAATAAAAGCGCAGAGATCCTTATATATTTATGTTAAAGTAATATTTTATTATTACATAAAACAGAAATGCACAATACCTTCATAGTTTGTTCTAATTATTGAAATATCTTTATTTTATTTTTAAAGATAGTGCCAAGTTTTAAGGGAAAAAAAAAAAAACCTTTAGACCTTATACTGACTGAGTTGAGTTGTGTGTAAAACACCTCCCTTCCTTTATACTTCATGAAGTTTTGGAATAAATTTTATGCATATACTGCCAGGTTTCATGTTTATAACTTTCAGAAGCTTTTTTTTTTTTAAATGAAGACTACTGTTCTGATTTACTTTTCTTTGCAAAACTATCATCAGTTCCAAACCTTTCAGTCACTATGCCTGTAGCATTAAATTGAAATGATCACTGGATTTGAGCTTCAATTTGTTTGCCATTTCATGGTCTGACAAAGAGATGTTTGCCCTGTAAATATATGCAGATATTACTGCATTTTCTTTCCAGGTTAGATATACCTTATCCAATTGGGCTGTTGAGGGAACATCAACTGAACTACATAATTCAGGATCTGCAGAAAAGCAGGGCTTAGTTAGAAGATTATTCCTCTTAATAACTAACAAATATCTTTCAACAAAGAATAACTCGGACAATATGCTATGTGCGTGTTTACCAAATGATTAGAAGTAGATTCTATATATTATTAATGTTAGGTTTACAGGAAAAGATAGATTTTGCAGTGGTCTATACTTTAGTGTCTGTTTCTTATCAAGCAAACGGGCTCTAAAATAAGAAGCAGGGGGCATGTATGGGAGAAATTAAGCCATAATGCTAACAGATTCTTTCATTCTTAGAACACTATCGTTAAAAAAAAAAAAAATCAGTTTTAAGCTTAGTGAGAATTCCAAGCAGACTTGAGTTAGTTTACAAGTTTGTTGATGTATTTAAACTCCTCTTTGGAACATTGGTTTAAGTATAAATGTTCATTTAGAAAGGTAGTTTCTGGGCTTATTACATCTGATCATCTTTTCTAACTCCTAGTCAATATTACATGGGTCCCAAACAGATTCAGCCAAATGATCTTATCAATAGTCTGAACAAGAAGTGACAGAAAGAAGAAGTGTTTTGTGATCGCAGACATGCTGATGGGTAAAATGTTTAAGTTGGATATAGATTTGAGTTCTGGGTCAATATCCCTTCACTGTAGGCAGAAAACAAGCAGCATCTGCCCTCTGCAGGGCATTTCAGTGGACCTTGAGAAGGAATTTTTGCTCTTAACCACAGGGGCTACTCCTGGAAAACATCACATGTTAAGCGGACACATCATGGTCTTGACCCAGGCTTGCCATTCAGATCCTAAAGCTACTAGGGTAGTTTCCATGCCAGTTAGGGAAGGTATTACACCTATGGTGAAAAACTATCATGGCCACTGGGAGAAATCTGTAGGGCATTCATTCCTAGGATGTGGGCTTAGCCACAACGACGTACCCTTTCTTTCTCCTAAAGACAATAATGCAGAATATAGCCATCCTGATAGAACTCTTATGTTTCTTTAAAATATGTCACTTTTTAGATTTATAATATAAGATAGGGGGAAATGATCATGTGGGAAAGAGTTATGTGAAGGTCAGATGGAGGGAATGGCCACAAATAATATTATGCTTGGCATTTCTAAACATTCTCGGTTCCCACGAAGTAACCTCCTTTATATTTCAGATGGCAGCAACAAAAGCACTCTTCTCCTTTCCCTCCTGCTCCTACCAAGGGAGGTCACACACTGGTTGGCAAAATTTTCTGGTAAAATAATTTTGATAAAAGCACTCATCTTTCTACTTATTTCTTCAAAAGCAACTAATAAAGAGATGCAAAAGCAACAACAAGGGGATGACATTTGGGTGCCTTGGTACCCACATGTGTATGTCTATTTGTTGCATTCACTTACTTGCCTTTTATTTTTCTTAGTATGGCAGCATCTTGGATAGTGCTGGGGAGTGGGATGAAATTACCCTTTTATCACTCCTTTCTGTGACATGTCTTTGTGATTTTTTCAACCAATTCATAGAACTCTGTTCTAGATTCTATTGAATTCCTACAGAAGTTAAAGAATGAGGTAAAGAATGGAGCTTGTACAGAAAGAGAAAGGATGGTGAAGTGAGGGTTTCTTTGGGTCTGCTTGTATATTTTAGTGGATAAGGCAAAGGGACAGTGTTTATCTAAAATGAAAGAGAAAGAAGCATATTGAAGTACTATGAATCTTAACGATATGATGAAATGGGATGTACAGCTAAATTTTATATAAATATTTTCCCTATTCAGGAAAGTTTACTTTTTCAATGATGCATAGCCTCTTAACAGGGGACAGATGGTAGCAGCAGAGAACCAGGGCTTCTGATACCTATTCCCACTACTTGATTCGGGATGGAAAACAATGTAAAAGTGGCAGGGACCTGCCATCCAGTTAGCAAATCAAACAATCAACTGGCCCATATTTGCAGAACTTGGGCTAGTGTTATTTTAATGCCTCCTTACCCAGAGAGGAGTATGGGATTGCCAGAAAATGGCTTTTTAGTTTTCTTTAAGGCTTTGCTTGGTTATGGAGTAAAGAAACAGAATATTTTCACATTGTTCTGGTGTTTGGTGGGAAGCTAGGAAATTTGTTTCCTCCTCTTTTATAAAAAAAAAGAAAAGTTAATTAACTTTATCATGTAATACCTTTCCTTTACCTTAATAACACCTCTGCAATAACGCCTCCGCTTGGCTTAGCTCTTAGAGGTTTTAGAAACAGTATCATACATGTCCCATCAAAACAATCCTGGTCTCTTATTGTTCCTAGAATTCTGATTGTTGGTAACATTAAGATGTATTTCCCTTTTTAAAAAAAATGTCTGAAATGTTATTTAATACACCAGTAAAAGTGCATCTATATCTTAAAGTTTATTCCTTCCATGTCTTTTTGAGTTTTTATAGCTCTTTGTCTGGAATTGGGGAGGGGGGGCGACTTCCATATGCGGCTTGTGCACGAAGAGCTTGGGCTCTGAAAGGGTCTGTAGTTGGTGGCAAACAGCCCTCTGCTCTTAGAATGGGGAGTTGTCATCCAGGAGAGAGAGAGAGAGAGAGAGACAGAGAGAGAGAGAGAGAGAGAGAGAGAGAGAGAGAGAGAGAGAGAGAAGAGAAGAGGAAATAAATGCCCCCACAAAGACATAGTCATCACTGATTTTAGAAAGACAGGGAAGGGTTAGGACCCCATCTGAGCGATATGGAAGGGATTTTGATTGTTATGAATTAACACTGAGTGTGCCAAACAACGCCAATAGGAAACCTTGCTGTGGAGTAAACTTGAACCTGTGCCCTTTTTTATTTGGGTCATATATTTTTCCTCCCACCAGCATTTCTTCTGGATTTGTTGTTTAAAAAAGAAAAGGAAAAGCCACACATCGAAAAATATGGCCACAGAGTTCTGCAGCAGAGTGGGAAAAAGAAAGTTTCTTGTGGGTTTGTAACAAATTAGCCATTGTAAATCACAGGGCTTTAAGGAAAATCCATGTGGAAAGTGATGGGGGCTCTTTCCCTCCTCCTGTTAAGAAATCTCATTCTATCAGAGGAATTTTATGTGACCTTTTATGTTCTAAGGCACATGATTCTGGAGAGAATTATTTGATATTAATAACTTTTTGTTGATGTTGTCCCCCTAACAAATATTCCTTCAAAGTTGGTGCAGCGACTGGGCAAGGCGGGTCTAGGCAAGGCAGGCCAGTGTGCTGCCAGCGGGCATCAGCTTCTGCGCTCAGCCGCTAAACAGGAGCCAGGCCCTCACAGTGTGCACCCACCCCACCCAGGCAGATGAGATGAGGGCCCAGAAAGCTCGGCTTGTGAGCTCTGGGAGAGGAGAGAAGTGAGAGAAACCGGCCATCCCTTGTACTTGCAGCCCAGGCCTAAGGTCCAGAATGCTGCAAACAGCCCCTGGGAGTGTCTGTTTGGAAATCGAGGATTCTTTGCCGCGCCCCGGGGCTCCGACGCCAAGACCCCAGTGGAAAGGGTCGACAGCTCCGACTTTGAGGGCTATTCCAACTCTCTCCCTTCCTAGGGAGGCCCATGTGGGGGACGTCCACTGCGTGGACGATTGGTGGGTTCACCGGCCGGAGACTGAGGCTAGAAGTGGTTAGGTGGAGTACAGATGCCTTGGGTATGGCCGCCGTCCCAGGGAAAGGACATCTAAGAGCAGGAGTTGGAAGGGCTTTTCTGAAGGCAACGCGTGACTACCAGAGAGATGTGGTGGGGCTCAGGGGGTTGCTTAGGAATAGAGGGCTCAGAGGACAGTGAATCTCCTAGCTTTCTGCCTGCCGTGCTTTTGTGCTTGACTCTGCAAAGTCGGGCCCAGGACATTGCTTCCACTTGGGAGAGGCAATTGTGGGAGACGGTGCCCCAAGAAAAAAGGGGAGAGTAAACAACTACAAGAAAACTGGGGAAGAAAATGGACTGCTGCATGGGAAATAAAAGAATTAGGTCTGCGAGGGCAAAGAATGGAGGACAGTGGAAAGCTGGGGAGCAAAGTTCTGAAGCATGCGCCCTTCAGTTCCCACCCATCAAACTTCTGGCTGTTTGACCTCAATTCCCTGCCTCCAATGGAGAGGAACTTTTCCTCTAGACGCGTGAAGGAAAACCATTCTCTAACCCCCAGAAGCCGGCCAATCCCTGCTGAGCCTAAAGTCAGTTCTTAGCAAAGAAAAGTCAGTTCCCCAGAGACAGGAACCCGAGAGCCCCTCTGGGCACCCTATGATCCCAAGCTAGGGCTGAAAGCTGTGAGTAGAGAGGGTCGCGCCCCAGGACTGGGGGCCTGTCGTTCACCTCCGTGGGTTGGCCACTCCTAGGGCCTTGGGACCCCTCCACCCCTATTAGCTTTCCCAGACTCCTATGAGAAGTCTCCCAGTGAGAAGAAACTCGGCTCTTAAAAGCCTTGCAGAAGGGTGTTGGGAGTTCCAACGCGGTCTTTCCCCTCCTGTAAGAGATGAGGCCGGTTGGGGGTCAGGGTCACTTGGATCCTGGGGTGCACGTCCTGGCCGCTGAGGCGGGAAGCTGGCTGGGAGCGGTGG